TCACCATCCTCATTACTTTGATGAGAAAATTGATGCTTCAGAGAGTCTAAGCCACTTGTCCAAGGTCATGCAGATAATAAATAGTAGAGCTTGGATTTACATCTATGCCATCTGTCTCCAAGACCTTCACCCTTAACCATTATACTACAATGTTGCCCCTACCAAGCTATGAGCACTTCAAAGACAGGGATCATAGCTTGTGATCTTTAAATGCCTGGCATGTAGACATTTGATAAACACACGCTGAGTGAATGAAAAACAAAAAAGAATAAATGAAATAGGAACTATAAAAGGAATTAACATTTATTGTTTGAAAATAATGAGAAAAAATTAAGACCAATTGAAGACTAAGTAGCAACAACCTTATAGATGTCCATCAGTTATAGATAAAACAGACAGATCTGAAGTCATCTCATTTGATGTGAAAGCCAGCCATTTCTGAAATGTTTGGAAACATATAGCAGATGCAGAGGATTATGGGTATTTGCTAAGAAACTTTTGGTGATGGTCATTACATCAGAACACACGTGACAAAGACTTTGGGGAATAAAGAATGAAGGTTTCTTTTCCTGATCCTTTCATACAGTAGTTCTAAGTGTAGAAACTATTCCACGAGCATCCTCTGAGAAAGGCAGGCAGTAGCCCCTGCACTTGTCACTGGCCCGAGTAGCTATTAGCAGCTCCCAGTCCAGTGCAACAGCTTTTAAACTTAGGCATCTATGGATGGGCTTCAAAAGTCCCCAAGTCACATAGTGGGCTCTTGATGGACTCAGCATTGGGTGTTCTATGCAACTGATGAATCACTAAATTCTACCTCTGAAACTCACTTTAAAAAAAAGTCCACAAGTCCTTCCAAGTATCAGGTTGATTGCCACATTCTGTGTTAACAAGTTTATAAACTCTACGGGAGGAAAAAAGAGAAAAACATCCAACTGTGTTTGGAAATTTTTGTACCAGGAGCTGTCCCCATTTTCAGAGTGAGTACTACACCTTCTGGAACAAGTTTTAAAGCCCCAACTGGCTGTCATGTGGAGGAGGAGATGAACAAAAATAGACCTTTACACCATACCTGAAAACCACCTGAGATTTGTGGTTTGTGTCCATGTCAGGAAAGTTCCTGTTGAACTCTTGAGGAAAGGGTCCAAATAATCAAAATTAGAACAAAGCTCTGTTTGTAAAGCCCAAACCAGAGGAAAATCAAGAAGAGTTGCAGATGTATAAAAATAGGTATGGGTCAGGCAGAAATATGGAGATGAGAGCTTGTGGGCTGCAGAACCCAGTACATTGTGTTTTGTTCTGTTCTGTTTTTACAGCCATAGCATTTGCCCAGGCAATAAAAATGAAAGAACAAGAGAGAGACAGGGTAGGTAAGGAAACCAGCTTGAGTAAGAGCGGACTCAGACTGTTATAAGCACAGACTGCCAGCCTTAATATATTCATGGAAAGAAATCAGCTCATCTGGGAGAGAAGACTCAGAGCAGACATGAGATAGGGAACATACATCCTCTTGCTGGCTTCCATGAAAGGCAATGCTTCCCAGAACAAAGGGATGCCCCTGGGGACTAGCACAGCATCTATGATTAAGTCTTTGAAGAATACACCCTCCCATTTTAACTCAAGGCCCCAATCTACCAAAAGAATAAAACCTACTTTCTAAACAGGGGTCTGAGGTTAGCCTTGTTGAAAGAGCTCCAGTCTACACTTGGAAACCCTATAACTCGCACAGAGAGAACTACTGGTCCCGGGACCTTCTTTAATAAATGTGAACATACCATTCACTCACAGGAAGTAAGCAGGAACCTCTCTGTTCCAGGCTATCACTTCTAGCCTTTGGAGAAGTGTTGACCTCCTTACGTCTGAGATTCCTTTAGAATGGATGAGCCACTCTGGGCCAGCCTAGACCAATCGGTGTGCTAGATGGGAGCAGAAACCAAAGCCACCTTGGGGTCCTTGTCTTAAAGACCTTCCCTAAAAAAAGTCATAATTAAAGTTATCAGAGCTCACTTGAGTCAGTGGGCACCACGGATTCGATTAATGTGTAAAGGGAGTATCAAGGCTAATGCTACATCTTACATAATGAGGAGGAGAGAAGATCCATCATGAAAAAAGCTAAGGGATTCAGATAACCACAGGAAACAAGATTTCATTATTTGAAATTTTAAAATATGCCAGAACTGTGTGTTAACTGCACACATAGATCCTGTCTCTCCTCAGTGAGGCCCGATGGATATTTCCAAAAAAAAAAAAAAAATGTGTAAGAGATGGAGAATTTAATTTAACAAAAATTCTCTGGAAGAATGTTCTCTCTCTCTCTGTCTCTGTCTCTCTCTCACAAACACACCTCCCACAATCCAGTCATAAGACAGCCCTACAATCCACAGGAGTCTCCTTATAAATTTTTAGCTACAGAACAAAAGAGGGTGAGAGAGTTTGCACCCTTAAGAGTCTAGATGGTTGAGTGTGAGTGTTGAAAAGAAGAAAAACATTTTATCAAATGATATTGTAGGATTTCTGAGATATACAATTTGTAAGTACTTTAAAAATTATTTTCAGTTGCTTCATTCTTCTTTGAAAGTAGCACCTTGTGGAAACTGAATCATATGAGGTCCCTGCTTAGATTTGGCTTTCAGGCATTTCTTCTAAAATAGTCAAAGCAGTTTCAGATAAAAACAGAGATTCCTATACCCCCTCCCCACTTGGTATCTCTCCCCATTATCCTAGCCCTTCTAGCCCTTTCCTGTGATTCATCTAGAAACTTCTTGGTTTACTGACTTTGGTAATGCTTTCCACACCCCTTTCCAGTTTTGCACCCTTGCCCAGAGTCTGTGATACCAGCTTCAGATAAGATTCCTCTGTCCTTAGGAGGACTTTAGAGAACATCTACAGGGAAAGACTGAAAAGGACACATTTCCCAATGAATATCACCATGATTATCTTGCCTTGTGAAAAAGGTGAACATTAGTAGGCTAATAAAGAATGTTTTAGGGGTGCCTGGGTAGCTCAGTTGGTTAAGTAACTGCCTTCGCCTCAGGTCATGATCCCGGGGTCCTGGGATAGAGCCCTGCATCGGGCTCCCTGCTCAGCAGGGAGCATGCTTCTCCCTCTGCCTCTGCCTGCCACTCCCTCTGCTTGTGCTCTCTCGCTCTGTCAAGTAAATAAATAAAATCTTAAAAAAAATGTTTTAGATACAGGATGCAGTATTTTGAGTAAAGAAAGCAGGTAAGAAATTTTACTCAAGAAAGGGTTCACCTTGATATTATTAAACTTTGATATGCTAAAAAAACCATAATCAACCAATAAGAAGTATGCCCCTACTTTTAAGGAGTTAGAACATACTAGAAATTATCCTCAAAAAAGTGGGTGAGAATCCTTCCAAGTCTCAAGCTAAGGTGTCAACCTGGTCCGCTTCTCAGCCCCAGCCCAAGGAAGCCTGTCTCTTTTATGCAGAAGAACCTCTGTTGAGTATTACATTATAAGGCACTTGAGGATGGGGACCACATTTATTTATTTATTTATTTATTTATTTATTTATTTTTAAGATTTTATTTATTTATTTGGGACAGAGAGAATGAGATACAGAGAGCATGAGAGGGAGGAGGGTCAGAGGGAGAAGCAGACTCCCTGCCGAGCAGGGAGCCCGATGCGGGACTCAATCCCGGGACTCCAGGATCATGACCTGAGCCGAAGGCAGTCGCTTAACCAACTGAGCCACCCAGGCGCCCTATTTATTTTGAATATCTATGCCTATCACCATGTAGAGCCCATAGGAGCACTGAATACATGCTAGTTGAAGGAATAAATATAACTAAATTCCTTAACCATTGGAGAAATTGCTCAAAGTTTTTATTTTATTTTATTTTTTAATTTTATCAGTCCACATGTGAAAGCTTTAGTCAGGGTCAAAAAACTAACTCTGCATTCTTGGGTAAAAACCATTTTGGTTGGATCTCTGGGCTTGCATGATTTGTAGAAGGCCTGGGTTTCTGGATGAAATAAAAGGTTTTTCCTTTATAATATTTTGGGTCTCCAAATTTTCAAAAATGTATTTTTTATGGTTTCTCTTTGTTTTTGTTTAAAAATAAACTTGTTGTGCGTGTTGGGGTTGGGTAGAGGTGCTCAAGAAGAAAGAACAACAGCAAACAAACAAAAAAAAAGCCACTTTGATTAAGCATAGTTAGTGAGCTCAGTGAAGCATGTTTCATCCTGATGCCAAATGACGCTCACGAAAATTGCAGCAATTTTTGATGCACTTGCCAATGTTTGTGTTATTTTTACTTTAAAGATGTAGCAGATTGCTCCAAAATAAATAATTTAAGCCTAACGTTTCAAAAGAGTCCAAGCGCTTGCGTCTTTCACTTCTGGCTTCTCTTCTGGGACTAAGCTGTGCCCAACAGAAGCAATCCTCATTTCTATGTAACACTCCATTTGGAGGGCTGTTTTCTTGCTTTGTTTTTCAAAGTCGAATCTATTTCTCACCATCCTGTTACAAATGTCGTAGATTCTATCATTGTTCTGCGCTGAAGCCATAACTCCTCTTATTCAGGAAAGCAAGGGAATAAACTCCACAGCATCTAGATTCGTGACTTTGTGGGAGGAGATTCCAAAGAGGTGCTCTGGGGTGAAGATCCAATCCAAGCCCCATGGGAAACTACAATTTCCATATTGATTCATATTTAGATTTCGAGCCATGAACAATGGGTCGAATTTTGTGCACGTCCTCAGTATAACTTAAAATAGGTTGGCGAATTAACTTCACACAAAATGACCCCATCCTCAATCAATTATTAGACTTCTCATTTGATTGTCTTTGTGGTAAAATCTAAGAGAGAAGAAACAGCCATGATTTAAAAAAAAATCAAAAGTAAATCTTTGTGCTGTTCTGTACTTCCTAACTGTGCATGAATGGCTTTTATAAACAAGAGAAAATGGCTTTTATAAAAAGATGAAATATAAAAAGACCAGAACAATAAACTGACGGCCTTGTGTTCTCATTAATGTAGGTCGCCATTGTGAGGTCCATCAGATGATTGGGAACTACATGTGGGACCCCACCACCAACAAGTCATTTGACATTGGTGTCAACAAAGACAGCCTGATGCCTCTCTGGTGGAATGGATCAGAACCTCTGTGGGTCACTCTGACCAAGGCCAAAAGGAAGGTCTACATGTACTACTGGCCAGGTGAGTGTGTTGACATCCAGGTCCCTCCAGCCTTCCAAATCTCCAACACTGTGGAGTCTCTGAAGACAAATGATGTGGTTGTCATGTTCGAAGACCAAGTCAGAGTTTGGAAAATGGGATCTTTACAAGAAATATGTCTTATGGGCATGATTTTTAAACTTTTGTTTTGAGCTCTCTAACATCAGACCAGACACAATGCAATTTCCTGATTTCCTTGGTTCAGCAATGTTGCTGTAGTAGATCATGCTTTTTCATGTGCAAAATTTTGGATATCCAAAAGAGATAAATTATGTGTTGCTTCTCTGCTTTACAAAAGAATTTGGCATACTGTTTCTATAGGTTTTGATCTCCCCTGTAATGTTGAAAAGACAATTTAAAGCACTTACAACTTTTTGGTACTGCATTAAATGAGGTCTCTTTGTATTAATATTCCTCCTGTACGTCATAGACCAATGAGGAACTAAATTACTTTACTTACTGCAATGAGGTAAGTCATCATGCAAACTACCCTGGCTGTTGTGAGAAGTCTTCAGAATACTCTCGTCTTGGCAGTCAAAAATCTTGCACTAAGGATGAGAGGATTCAGTGATAACAATATAATCAACTTACAGTTGTCTTCCCATTGGTTCCCATTGGGATTCATTCTTTAGGTAAGTGGGTGATTTGACTTCCCGATGTACATGGCTGTGGACACTTTTTTCCAAATTCTTAATGGTGTAATACTGCTGAGTGCCACAATGGAAAAAGATGTCAGGGGAGGCCTGGAAGAAATGAAGGGATTAATGGGGAGAGGCCGCTGGGGGAGTTCACTGGCCTCAGTTGGAGGGCAGCAGTAGCCTGATAAAACTGTGAGAGCACGGTGGGTGGTGGGGAAGGTGGTAGGTGGGGGTTGGGAAGAACAGAGAGAAGGATGAGTAAGCTGAGGCTGAATCACAGATGGCCCACACTGAGGGCGTGGGCCTTCAGCAGGAGTTTAGAAGATGCTGGTTGGAGGTGGTCACGTGGACAGCTGCTTAGGGCACTCAAGGCTGTGCCAATTCTTGGAGGAGCATGGAACACAGACAGATGGAGACCGTGGAAAACAGACTCACAGCCATGCTGGGGTAAGTGCCCGGAAAACTGCCACAGAGCAGAGACTAGCATCCATAGGTGAGCCCATGAAGGCCAGAGCAGGCTGCATAAATTAGAAACTGGGCATAAGAACAATTAGACACACGCTGGCTCTGCTGGCAGATAGAATTTCAGGGAGAGCACTGGAGTTTCTTCAGAAGACTTGGGATTCGGTCCATAGAAGCTACCTCAGCTGACATGAGAAGAAGCTTTCAAGCAAGGGAAGGCTTTAAGGGGACTTCATTACCTTAAATGGAGACTCAACTTTTCAGAATTGGACATGAAATTAAGAAAAGCCAGTGCACCAGACAAGCTAATCAGACTTGCTGGAGGAGCCAGGCTCATGGTTCAGCCCAGTGTGAGGAGGTCTCAAGCCAAAAGATGCACCTTGAGGTCATTCTCAGAAATCATTATGAACAAATACAAGGCCCACATGCCAGGGCCTAGGAGAAGGAACAGATTGGGCATGCTGCCTTAGGGACCACCTTAGACAAGTCTAAGGACCATCAAGATGCCTGTTACCCCAGTGCTGTAAGGGCCATCTTCCATGGTAGCTGGTTAATTTAACTTCCTGTCTTGGAACTTGAGTTTTTCATGCTCCAAAGAGTACATATCCCCCATCATCTCTCCCCAGCTCCCCACGTGCTGCCTCCTCTACACATGATCTCCTGCCAGTGGCCTTTCAGATAGCAGTGGGTGCCATTGTGCATGAAGGTAGGGAGTGGTCCTGAAGGGAGACAGCTGCCCTATTTTAGACCTCTCTCTGCAGCATTATAGATCGTTATTCTGTATCTCCTCCTGGAGGATCTGGCTCCTTCAGGATAATAAACAACTTGAAGTTACATATCTCTGAGTATCTAAAAAAAAAAAATCTCAAAGCTAATTTGCATGTAAAATATCATGTTCTCCTCCAAAACAGCTCCTTAAGGGCAAGAAAGGTCCAATCGCTTCTTTTGATTCACAGTTTAACAGCTAATGTGATGTGACAAATATGCCTTATGATCAGTTTATAGTGTTAACTATTGGGAGGAAAGAAGCTGAAAAGAAAGTCTCCTGGGATTTCCTCAGCAACCTAAATGAAGATGAGCTCAAGATCTGGCTGTGTTGAAGTCTTGATAGAAATCGGATGAATAGTCTCTTCTTAGACACTGTTCAGTCCTTCTAGGACCTTCTAGGCTGGATACCCAAATAAAGGCTCTCCAAGAGCTAAGTGTCTCTGAAGCCCCTGCCCCCTGACCCAACCAGGAGTGCTCTTGCCCACCCCAGTTTTACTGGCTGCCAGCTGAGGGATGAATGGTCACTGCTATCCTTTCTCCCTCCACCTTGGTCCCCTCCAGCCCCTCCACACAGCTAACAGCCCAGTGAGCGTTCATTTGTCTCTACAAGATTAAGTGAAGTACAGTGGCATTTCTTCTAAACATGACTTGATTTTATTTTTCTTCTCAAATCCTCCTCTTCCTTCTCCACTTCCCACAGGACATTGTACAGACCTCTGGATGAGGCCTGGAAAATCTTCATTGCTCCAGTGAGCTGTGTTATGACACTTTGAGTCTCACTGTGAAGTCAATATTTAGAAGTGCAATTTAGAAATGGCAGTAGTTCAAGTTTTTCCTGTCAGGTAGACAAAGCAGCAGACGGAGAAATTCGTCAGTGGTGAAGAGTCCCAAATAGCCCACCTCAAGTCTCAAGAAATTTAATATTGTAAACAGACCCTTTATTACCCCACCCAATGGTGCCATTGAGCTGTGCAGGGAGAAGCGTACCATGGGAAATGATCCCCAGCCCTAAATCAAATATTCCTTTGGGAAGCCCAAAGAAATCATCCAGGAATTGTACGGTGGGGGCCTAACAGTGTTCTGCAAAGGAAAAGGGCTGAGTGTGTGTCGTTCATTAACTTTATCTCCTATTCCATCCCTCTGGTTTGAGATCAAAGAAATTTTACTGAGGGGGAAGGGAAGAGGCTCTGATACTCACTTCATAGTAAGAGCATCCCAAAGCAGAGAAGGGTGGAGGAGGAGGAAAAATGAGGGGAAATGGGAGGATAAGGCAGATACCATGTGGAAACCAAGTTTGAGCTCCTTGGACAGCACACAGGGGCAGTGGTTTTAAGTTGATTCTTACGGCTGTTGTGAAATCCCAAAAAGGAATAAAGATTAGCAACTTTTTAGGAGTCTCTGGTTAAAACTCCTTGGAATGTTTGAAGACTCTGAGTTCTATGTCTTTTATGATGCATTTTGCAGTGTGAACTCCCTACAGCCAAACACTCAGGGGGACTGGGGAGCAACCATTCATATGGCCCTAGAGAAGGGCCTGGGCTCTTCTACCGACCTCTTCCTGTCCTGTGCAGGTGTTCAGATAAATAGGGCACCTTCTTTGTAGGGAAGGACACGTTTCCACCTTGCTTCCCTTTCCTACATTCCAGAGGTGGGCTGGGTGGGGATTTTAGGGGTGAGTATCTAACTGAGCTCCTACCAAGCAAGGTGATTTCATCTGCGTAAGTAAGGAGACATGCACTGGCTATTGATGGAGAATATGGATTGTTCACAGCCTCTTCCCCTTTCCTGCTGTGGTGGGTTCCTGACAGCCTTCAGCTGGGCTGAACTTGGTTGCATACACTAAGGCACAGGGAAGATTAGGGACCCAGCATCAATTATACAAATGAGTGAGTTAACGTTATGAATGGCTCCGTTCTTTGACTCTATGAACAGGACTCCAAATATCTGAATAAAAACTGAAATTCTTTTTTCAGACAAATATTTGACATTGCAAATGCATGGGATCCAGAGTTGCACTAAATTTTCCAATAATATCACCAATTTAGCATTAGACTTTAAGATGTATGTAACTTTAGAACACAAAGAGGTCCTCGTATGTAGTTTGCTCATTCCTATACTTGTAAATCAGGACCTCTTTAGGAAACTCATCAAAACTATGGATCCCCTTTGCAGAAAAACACACCCTTGCATACAACACTCATAATTTTGTCCTCATGTAATACAAGAAACTACAATGATGAGGATTGGCAAAAGGTCTTTGACATAGCAACACACATATATCTAATCTATAATTGATTTGATTTTTTTTTAATGTGATAAAAACATGTGTTAAAAATCACGGAAGTACCAAGCGAAACTCAAGATCCTGTAATTAATCTTGTCTGGCTAGAATGGGCTTGGGTCAAAATTCTCTAAGACTCTTTGGGTTGAATTCACTATGAGTCATTTCCTTTGTTTGTCAGGAACTTTGGTCAGGTCTGCATCCCTGATATTCCTGTCTGTGTCAGCAAGAAAAAGATTATGAATTCTCATTTCCAGTTGGAGGTTGTCTCTAAGACATGATCTTCAAAAGCGTTCTGTATGACTTCTCAGCATCAATGACCTCTGCTGCAGAGAAACTGAGGAGGTGTTGCCTATCTGGACCACTGCCGGCGGGAGCAATTCCTCCAGTGCTGGAAAGTTTTCATAGCTGCCCAACCACATGCAATTTCCTCTCGGAGGCTAGCATCTTGGCCAAAAGAGCTCACAGTTTCTCAGCAGCATCCATGATGGTAATTAGAAAGCCTTAAAGAGAAATCCAGGGATGAACTTCTATTCTTCACAAGTCATGGCAAATCTATTTCTTCATAAAACATCTTAAAAGGGTGTGACTCCAGGCCCTGAAATCTGCTCTTAGGAGACAACTATGAGCAAAACCAGATGCAGGCTCTCTTCACTCCAACTCCCCTACCTCCGGGAACTCACCATCCCATGGAGAAGGTAGATGATAAGCTTATACTTGCCCAAATAAATGTAGAAATCCACTTGTTAAAAGTACAATAATGAAAAGTAGATTGCATTATGACATCATCTAATAAGGGATCTGGTTTCATCAGATGACAAGAACTAACACCT